ACATACAACTCCAGAAAATCTGTCCTTGATTGGTTAAAAAATTCTTCCATTGTCATCTCCACGTCTTCATCGTCAACCACTTGCAAACTAATGTATTTATCACATTGCCATAACCTTGTCATGATCTGAGTGATACATTGGTTGCCTTGAAGACTTAACTTATGCCGAATTCTCTGAGGCAATTCGCCACTGATTGCGTTGCGTTGGATACGTGTCGGCCTTTTTTCACTTTCAAACATGTCACCTCGTCGACCTTCTACCTTCCTACCATTGTAATATAACACAACATGAACATAATTAGGATGTGAACTCATTCTTAAATAGAATAAGAAATAAAATGAAAATACTAAATTAAAGATAACGAATTCTGTATGTATGATGTCAGAATTTTTGGTAGAGAAGAGATATGAAGAGTGAGAGAAGAGGTGTGAAGAGTGAATAAAGTGGAAAGGGTATAGGGTCGCACATGTAACACCCAAACTGGGCGTCACATGTGACGCCCCAGTTAGGCATCACCCATATGGGTGAGACGCCTAATTGGGGCGTCACATGTGACTAGTCTTGGCAAAAATGAGGGTTGGCTCGTAACCCGACTAAAATAAGTCGGGTTGGGTTAGGAAAAATGAGTTAGTAACTCGAGTCAGCCCGACTCATTTCAGCTCGAAAAAAATTGAGTCAATCCACGGGTAAAACGGGTTGGCTCGCGGGTTATGATTTTTTTTTTGTTTTAATATAAAAGTATAAAATTAATGAAGGTAAAGTGAAAAGCTAAAACCTAAAATTTCAATTTTAAAGACCCAAACGAAAATACCATGCAGCTGTCAATAAGTCCAAAATCGTGCATTAAGGACCTTTTTTATAGTATGTGTGACAGTGTGAATGTAGTGCCAACTGCCAATAAGTTCAAGTCCAAATGCAAAAGAAATTTTCTATGGTTTATCTGTATAATGTCTTTGTATTGAATGAATTAATAATTTAGGAAAAAAATTTAGAAGTTACAGGCTTACAGCATCAATGGAATTTTTTTATTTTTTTTTTAGCCAACCCGCGAGCCAACCCTTACCCGGCTCGGGTCGGGTTGGGTTGAGTTTTCTGGCTCGTTTAGTTTTTGAGCGAACCTGAACCTGGCTCGTTTTTTTCGAGTTGAACGCGGATTGGGTCGGGTTGGCCTGTTTTGCCAACCCTACACGTGACGCCCAGTTTGGACGTCACATTATGCAGTATATTCGTCATTATTTCAAAAACTATTATAAATACGTAAATAATTTATTAAAGAGTAAATACCCTTTTTAGTCATTGGCAATATCCATGAAGTCCTTTTCAGTCCCTAGCAATAAAAAAGGGATAAATTGGTCCATGAAATAACAAAAAAGAGGCCACGTTCATCCTTCCGTTAACTCTCACCTAACGGCTCTACTAACGTTGCACAGTTGGCACGTTAGTTTGCTGACGCGACTTGGATGTGGGACACCGGGGAAGACGAGACGACGGTGTTTTGGTCCCTGCCAAAACCACGAGGGCCATTTTGGTCCCTGTCAAAATGCACGAGGACGTTTTTAGTCCCTGACAAAAAGCACGGGGCTCTTATTGGTCCCTAACCAGAGAAAAATAGGCACATGACTTCATTGCTTTTCTATGCAGTCCAATTTTGCAAAACAGAAGTTCATTACATCAGAAATAGGAGTGCAATCCATTTGTTCATCACAAAGTAATTAAACTAAATTTCATCACAAAGTAAAATACTCCTTCTTGGCATTTTATTTCAATGAAGTTTGTGTTTCTAGCTGAAGTTTCGACCTTATTAACAATTATTCATTTCTTTTTCAATGCTAATTAAGCTTCCCACTTTGTTAAAAGAGATTCTTGGCTCTTGCAAACAGCTTTTACGATCCCTAGAATACTATGAACTGCTTTAATTCTCTTAGTCTATATAAGACATAACGTTATGCGATTTACGAACAATATCTTCAGTAGTGTAGCATTACAATTATATTATTTATTTTTCTATAAAAGATAATTGCATGATTGTTGATATTTAAATACAGAGAAAAATCAGAGAAGAAGTCAGGTAAATGATTGTTGATAATTGCAATGCATGACAGTTGACTGGACTGCAGCAATTGGTAGTTCTCAGCCACATGAAGGCAACTTGAGAGGAAGTAGCCCACCTCCATCAAATCCTCAACAGGCAAATGAGCTGTTGAGTAATGAAACAATGAATGCAGCAACCAGTGGCACACGAAGTAGATTATTGGCCTTCATGAGCACACCTGGTTTTAGGCCACCAAGGCCTGCCTAAAAAAAATGACCTGCTGTTGTATATGACCTGGGAGTAGTGCATGAGCCAACTGAGAAGGGTTATTATTATGTGACTGATTATTTTGAAAATTCTGGCCATTATGTATTTGGAGGTCTTATTATGTCAATGTTTTTTTTTGTAAATTCTGGCCATATTGTATTATAGGCCTTTCTTTTAATTCCTGGCAGTTGGCTTTATTTTGTAATGCACTACTGTACATCCATGTCTTCAAATATAATGATACTCAAATCATGTTCCAGCTATTATGTTTCACAGGGTTGATGAATGTTTAAGTTTGTCATTTTTGATGTTTTTAACTAATATACGTAGTTGTAGTTCTTGTACATTCATGTCTTCTGGTTTAACAAATTGGACTGCATACAAATCCAATTTAATGTCATGTTCCTGTTTTGCAAAATTGGATTGCACTCCTGTTTTTGATGTAATGGACTTCTGTTTTGCAAAATTGGACTGCATAGAAAAGCAATGGAGTCATGTGCCTATTTTTCTTTGGTTAGAGACCAATAAGGGCCCCGTGCTTTTTGTCAAGGACTAAAAACGTCCTCGTGCATTTTGACAGGGACCAAAATAGCCCTCGTGATTTTGACAGGGACCAAAACGTCATCGTCTCGTCTTCCACGGTGTCCCACATCCAAGCCACGTCAGCAAGCCATGTCAGCAAACTAACGTGCCAACTGTGCACCGTTAGTTGGGCCGTTAGGTGGGAGTTAACGAAAGGATGAACGTGGCCTCTTTTTTATTATTTCAGGGACCAATTTTTATCCTTTTTTTATTGTTAGGGACTGAAAAAGGGTCCGTGAATATTGTCAGAAACTAAAAAAGATATTTACTCTTTATTAAAAAACAATAAATAAATTTTTTTGCCTCATGAACAAGTATATTTATTTTACTTTTTCTTTCTTTTCCAGTGTCACGTTCCAATAAAGATTTCATATATGCCAGCTGTTATCAGTATTGTAGGTGGCTGCTAAGTAAAATTTCAAAGTTTGTTAACAAAAGGACAAAAGTTCAGCTTGCAAATAGATTAAAATTTCAGGATTTTGCCTAGTTTCAAGTGTGAACACAATTTCTTTTTTTTCAAAAAAAAGACTTGGTTTGATTTGGGAATCTTTTGGGAACAACCCAAATTATTTTATGATTTTATCTCTATTTTATATTTATTCTCTTTTTACTTTTGTGAATAAAACGCAAAACCATTTCCGACAACAAGTACGATGTTTCCTTCTTCTTTTTTGCACAAGTACGATGTTTCATTTTTAATCCAGTAATTGTTGGTTATGTAATGTTTTATTTAGACAATTACATTTTCATTAAAAAATGTATAGGAAAAATAAGTCTCTAATCTCATGTCAAAAATATAATAAGTGTGGGTCCATTTATTTATAAAAAAAGTGACATTTTTTTATGATCTCTGTAAAAAGGATTTATTATTTCCTACAACAATATAAGAAAAATAAATCTCAATTTTTATAGGTAATGAATTTGGCAAAAAATTTAACCACTTTTAAATTCTATTAAGAATACTTTTATTAAATAAAATATATTTTAGATCCTTAATAAAAATTACAGAACTCATTTTAATCCTTAGCGGATTAAACGGATCAACCTTATCGTTGAAACTCGTTTTGCAACCCTTGCATAACTAATGAGCACATGGTACCCTATATATAACTAATAAGCACATGGTATTCTTTATATGACTCCATGCCTTCTCCTATGGGATGGTGTTTTATTTTAGGGCTTATTTAGTCTCATATTGACATTAGAGAAGAAATTTTATGTCATAAATATATAATAGCAGGAGACAACACTTAAAAATAAAAAGATTGCACAGTTATTTGAAGAATATATAAGAAGAGAAACTTATGTTATCATGTAACATGAGAATAATTTTTTCCTTTTATTTTATACACACAGCACTCGGCTTCTGCTACGTGATACGGCGGGTCTAGTGTTAACAATATTCTCAGTTTGTGTCTGACTGTCTGTCCATTTTGGATCAAGAACTTTTGAGATGTTATTAGCTCAAAGCAAAGTTCCATAGCAAACAACTTCGCTTACGAAGCTTGCTTCTCAACAAAACATGACCCACATTGCGTTGGATTCTTCTTGAAGCAACCAACCACAGCATATTCCTGATATAATACCTCAATATTCTTATCTCTTTTATAAAGAACTTCCATTCCTTATCTTTAATATTAAAAATGAGAAGACGTAGTTTCATAAACAACACGCTGTTGGTCATTTGTAAAATCGACCCTCAGATCACAATCATCTCTGCCTTCTAGGTTTTGAATATGTATCACTGGACCACATAAGCACCACTTCTCTAATACTTTAATTTCATCTTTTTTGTACCATAACTTCATACAATTGTGACATTTCAAGACATCCCTATATTCAAGCACTTATAAATAAATAAAGTAAATGCTGTTAACAAATGACAAACATACAACTAAGTTAATGATAGTACATAATAGGTTTGATATTTGTTATTTTAAATGACATAAGTTATGTCATTTTAGGAGAAAGATAGACACAGAAAAACAGAAATCATAGGAGAAAGAAAGTGAATGATTTTTTTTAATTTAAAATTCAAATTTTATGTGTCTGTATCTCTGTTAACATGACATAACTTTCTGTCATTTAAAATAACAAACACTTCTCTTGTATATAAATAATTTTAAACTTTTTTTTATATAAATACAACTGATTTGAATCGTAACCACATAAACGATGGAAATTACCAAAGAAGTAAAGATTTAGTTAGGGGATACAAAAAAACAAAAACAAAAAACACATGCAGAATTTACACATAATAACGGAACACAAAAAAAGGAGTAAAAAAAAGTGTTAATATTTTTTTTTTCTTCCCCTTTTTATTGGTTTATCTCCCAAATTGTTTCATTCTCTAGAAATCATCTCCATCGTAACCACCATCATCACCACCGTCGTCATAACCACCATCATCACCACGGTCTTCATAACCACCGTCATCGTAACCAGCATCATCACGATCGTAACCACGATCATCCTCAATCTTATCCTCAACCTTCTCAGCCACGTGATCCTCAATCTTGTCCTCAATATACTCAGCACCCTCAACAAGTGCGATTCCACCTAGAACCCCAGCAACCGCACCCACAGCCAATCCTGTCCCCATCCCACCAAACTTGCTTTTCTTTTTCTCCTCCACCGGCGCGTACCCATAACTCCCTTGACCATACGACGCAGTTTGCTGCGGCGCATTATACCCTCCGTAACCCGAACCATACGCCGGCGCCGCCGTAGAAGGATACCCCGCCGGAGCCCCGCCGTAACCATACGAACTCTGCGGTGGAGCCGCGCCATAAGACGAACCATACGCTTGCGAACCATACTCCCGCGATGACGCCGCCGGTGGTGGAGGGACGCCGTAAGAGGGAGCGTGGTACGCACCCTGCGCACGATAGCCAGATTCTCTGATAGTGACCTTAACGTCAATCCTCCCATGTGGTCTTCCTGATGGTCGTTTTACCGTGAGCGTGCGACTCGCGCGCTGGCCAAATCCTTCGCTGTCTAGGACTTCAACGAGCTTGAGCCGAGCCGAGCCGATGAGCGGCTTGGTGTCTTCTTCTGAGCCGGCGTGGACCACGTCAATGCAGAGGGTGAGATCCTCGATGCGTTCCGGCGGTAAAGGGATCACGAGGGTTTGGTCCCAGTTAGCTTCGGTGTCGCCGGCGTCGTCGACTCTGGTCGAGGATTTGTTCTTTGGGTCGACCCAAACGACGGCGTACGGCCTGTTTGAGCCGTGGCGCCAGTTCACGTTTTTTAGCCCACGCGCCGACGCGAGCTTAACTTCCACTTCGTAGCGAGAACCCATTTTGATGAGTGAGTTGAAGAAGAAAAACTTTTGGAGTGTTTTGAGAATACGAAGAAGTGAAGAAACGTTGTTGGGCTTCAAAGGGTTTTATAAGTAAGGTGGGGAGTGAGATTGGTTTGTTTTAGGCTTTTAGCCTTCGGTATTCAGGGTAATAACAGAATTGCCACGAGGACTTTTTGTTGTGTTGATGTACGAAACCATCCTTGGTAAATTGGTGCATTATTCAGTACACTGTTTTTCGATGTGTGTTTTGGTGAAGGGTGGTTTTGGAAACTAAATTGTTGATCTGGAAGGTTTGGGTGTATTTGGGGGAAGGAATAACTTGGGTGGGGAATAGACAAGGAAAGTGGTAGCTTGCGAATTGAGTATTTAATTGTTCCTTGAAATCTTACTATTGACTTCATAAATAATATGCATTATTTTATATAATAGATAGATTTAAGAAAATCACATCATGTTACTGATTAAAATACATATTAGTTTGTCTAATTATAAGTTAGTTGTAGGGAAAAAAAAAGCCATAGTTTTTCAAATTCAACAACTTGACTTTTTAAATTAACCAAATTATATAGAGTAATATAAGTTTAACTTCTAATTCTTGTGCAAACAATCTTTCAATAAAGAATTAATATATACGTTTAAAAAATTGTAAATGAATTTTTTTTATTCAATGATGCCATTAGATTCAAATCTATAATTAACTTCATACAAACTATTTGAATTTCTTATCCTTAGTCGTATTGTTGAATTTCAAATTATAATTTTTTTTTATGATTGACTTATATTTCAAAAAATAAATTATATTTTATATTTTATGTCATGAAAGATATTAAGTCATAAGTTTTTAGTATTGAGCTATTGTGGAGTTGGAGCTAAATCTATATCCTATAATGGGTGATGTATGTCAATATATGGGTACTCAAAGTAGCAAAAGTATGAATCAAACCTTAAGGAGAGACACCGCAAGTGCTATCTCATACGAGAATGAGATAGCAAAAAGAAAGAGACCGAGCGGGAGAGCACGGGGAATGAAAAAAGAAAAAAAGAGAAGCCGAGAGAGATAATAGCGCGAGGGAGAAAGAAAAGAAAAGAAAAGAAAAGGAGAGGAGATTTTCTCCCGCGGATCCAACAGTGAGACTTCGTCAGAACGAGCTATGATTTTAGGAGAGTGTTTGTGGTGTCTAGTAGTTCACATTCACCAGTCATTTTGCAGTTTGGAGGTCTTTAGAGCCACAGATTTGGTTTCCCCATTTCAAGTTTTTTTTGTGATTTTTCTCCTTACTCTATCTCTTTATTTTCATCTTGTTGATGATGTTGTTGGATTCCTCTATTGTTATATAGACAGATAATACTGTGTATGTTTACTTCAATTTGCACTTCATTATTTGTTTGGCCCCCAACAAAGTGGTATCAGAGCTTTGGTTTATAATTGTGGGTGTTTGAAGTGTAAACTAAAATAGAAGGTAGTGCAGGTTCCATGCTTAAACTTAATGGATCAAATTGGTTAATCTGGAAGCTATGACGGGGGATTATTTATTCTGCAAAGACTTATATGAACCCGTTGAGGGTAATGCTAAGCGACCATCAGAGATGTCAAATGCGGAGTGGAATAAATTAAACATAAAAACAATTGGCACAATTAGACAGTGGTTGAATATCAGTGTTTTCCATCATGTTGTGGATGACACATCGGCAGAAGAGCTTTGGAAAAAGTTATCAACTCTGTATGAGAGGAAAACAACTGGGAACAAAGCATTCTTGATGAGATAGCTTGTAAACTTGAAGTACAAGAGTGATATCACTATCAGTGAACATTTGAATAAGTATCAAAGTATAGTAAATCAGTTGAGCACAATGAAATTGACACTTGAGGACGAGCTGCAAGCTTTACTGTTGATGAGCTCTTTACCAGATCCTTGGGAGACCTTGATGGTATCTGTTAATAATTATGCTCCATAGGGTAAATTGTCAATGAGTATGATTACCAGTGCATTGTTGAATGAAGAGACCAGAAGAAATTCCCTCACAAGCATTTGTCACAGAGAACAGGAGGAGGAGCAAAGAAAAATTTAATAAAGGTCATTACTGAGGCAAGAGTCGTGGAAAGTCACAAAATAAATCAAAATCTAGAGAAAGAGTCAAGTGTTACCATTGTGGCATAGAGGGGCATATAAAGAGGAATTGTCGGATTTGGAAAAGAAAGAAAAATAAAAGTAGTAGCCAGAGGAAAGATGATGATAAGAACACCATTGATGTAACTTTTGATGAGGCATTGTTGCTTTTTTCTTTGGGTGAAGATCATTGTTTGCACTTGTCAGATAACCAGGTTGAGTGGGTAATTGATACAAGAGCATCTTATCATGTTACTCCCACTAAGGAGTCCTTAACTAGTTACAAGGCAGGAGACTTTGGAACTGTGAAGATGGGTAATACTAGTTACTGCAACATTGTGGGAATTGGTGATATTTGCATAACAACAAATATGGGTTACACACGGACACTGGAGGATGTACGACATGTTCCTGAATTGCATGTTAATTTGATATCAGGGATTGCTTTAGATAGAAAAGGTTTTGAAATCACTTTCAGCAATGGAAAGTGGAAGCTCACCAAGGGGTCTTTAGTGGTTGTGAAAAGAGATGCTTGTTGCAATTTATACAGGACTACAGTGAAGATATGTCATAGTGGATTGAATATAGCAGAGGATGATTCTTCACCTGACTTGTGGCATAGGAGATTCACGTGAGTGACAAAGGTTTGCAGGTAGTGGCAAAGAAGTATCTAATTCCCTTTGCCAAAAATATGCATTTAAATACATGTAACTATTGTGTTATTGGCAAGCATCATAGAGTTTCATTCCAAAAGCATCATGGTAGGAAATCTAATATATTAGGCATAGTGCATTCTGATGTTTATGGTCCATTTGATGTTCCATCATTAGGAAGTAATAGATGTTTTGTTACTTTTATTGATGATGCTTCACGAAAGATGTGGTTGTTTCCTATGAAATATAAAGACCAGATGTTCCAGTATTTTCAGCAGTTCCATGTCATGGTAGAAAGAGAAACAGGAAAGCTCCTAAAATATCTCAGTATTAATAAAGGAGGCGAGTATACTTCAAGGGAGTTTGAAAGTTAATGCTCTAAGTATGGCATCAGACATGGGAAGACAATTCCTGGAACCCCTCAACATAATAGGGTAGCAGTGAAATACAATCGCACAGTTGTTGAGAAGATCATATGCATGTTGAAGATGGATGCATTGCCAAAGTCCTTCTAGGGAGAAGCTACTAGTACTGCCTGTTATTTGATGAATAGAACTCCCTCAGCTCCGTTGAACTCAGATATTCCAGAAAAGTTATGGAGAGGGAGAGATGCCTCCTACTCTCATATGAAGGTGTTTAGTTGCAAGGCGCACATGTTTCAAATGAGCAGCGGTCGAAGCTTGATGACAAGGTCATTCCTTACATATTCTTAGGTTATGAAAATGAAGAGTTTGGCTACAAACTATAGGATCTTGAAAAGAAGAAGATTTTCAAAAGTAGAGATGTAGTATTCCGTGAGACTAAGAATATTACACACTTAGAGAAGACAGTGAAGTCTACCAAGGGGAAAGAAATTATGGTTGATCCTACATCCATTCCTTCTTCTTCAAATGGTGTCATTGGAGGAGGAGAGATTCATAAAGAGCATGTTGATCATGATGGTTCAGAGGCAGTCAGTGATGTTGATGATGAGATCATTGAGCAAGGGGAGCAGCCCCCACATATAGAGGTTACAGAACCAAAGGTCAGACGATCCATGAGATATCATCAGCTATCACAAAGATATCCCATTTCTGAGTATATCCTCCTTACTGATGAGGGGAAGCCTGAATGTTTTCAGGAAGCAATTGACAACAGTGACAAAGACAGCTGGATGCAAGCTATGGAAGATGAAATGAATTCCATGTATATGAATTACACTTATGACTTGGTAAAATTTCCAAAGGGTAAGACATCATTGAAGAATAAATAGGTGTACAAGATTAAGAGGGATGCTAATAGCAAACTAATGAAACACAAGGCTTGATTGGTAGTGAAAGGATTTAGACAGAAGAAAGATATTGACTTTGATGAGATCTTCTATCCAATTATCAATATGACATCCATTCGAGCAATTCTGGGTTTGGTAGCTAGTTTGGATCTTGAGGTTGAGCAGCTAGATGTGAAGACCTCATTTCTTCATGGTGATTTAGATGAAGAAATCTTATAATGCAACCTGAAGGTTTTGAAGTCAAAGGAAAAGAACATATGTTTGTAGGTTTAAGAAAAGCCTTTATAGGTTGAAGCAGGCACCACGACAGTGGTATAAGAAGTTTGATTCACTTATGGCGAAGCTTGGATATAAAAGAACTTATACAGATCCTTGTGTATACTTCAGCAAGTTCTCTAGTGGTAAATTCATTATTCTTTTTCTATATGTTGATGATATGTTGATTATTGGGCAAAATACCGATATGATCAGAAAATTGAAAGAGTAGTTATTCAAGGCCTTTGATATGAAGGACTTAGGGCTAACAAGGCAGATTTTGGGCATGGAAATTGTTCTAGATAGGAAAGCTTGGAAGCTATGGTTGTCACAGAAAAAATATGTTGAACGGGTGCTTGAAAGGTTCAACATGAAGAGTGTTAAACCAGTTAGCACACCTCTTACCAATCGCTTTAAACTGAGTAAGAAGTCATGCTCATGTACAAAGGAAGAAAAAGAACGCATATTAGCTATTCCATACTCATCTACAATTGGTAGTCTAACGTATGTTATGGTTTGCACAAGACCAGATATAGCACAAGCAGTTAGTGTGGTGAGAAAGTTTCTTGATAATCTAGGTACAAATCATTGGGAAGTGGTGAAGTGGATCTTCAGATACTTGAGAGGGAGCTCCAAGCAATGCTTATGTTTTGCAAGTGTAAATCCAATCTTGGAAAGGTACACAAATTCTGATATGGCGGGTAACTTGATTATAAAAAGTCTACCTCCGAGTACTTGTTTACTTTTGTAGGGGGAGTTGTGTCTTGGCAGTCCAAACTGCATAAATGTGTTGCCTTATCTACAACTGAGTATGAGTACATCACCGCTATAGAAGCTGGGAAAAAGATGCTATGGTTGAAAAGATTTCTCCAAGAGTTGGGATTCAAGCAGGATGAATATGTGGTCTACTGTGATAGCCAGAGTGTTATTGACTTGAGCAAGAATTCAACTTATCATTCTCGCACAAAGCATATTGATGTGAGATATCATTGGCTACGTGAAGTAGTGGAGAATGAGATGTTGAAGATTTAGAATATCCACACTGACAAGAATGCCTCGGATATGTTGACTAAATTTGTTACCCGAGAGAAGTTTAAGTTGTACAAGGAGCTTGCAAACGTGGACTCCAAGTGAAGAGTTAGATCTTCGTTTCCTCCCTTATGGTCACGAAGGGAGAGATTTGTTGAGTCCGTGATTAATTTTAAGTTGTGGGTCCCATGCCCATTTGAATTTGAAAGAAAAAGGAAACTAAAAGAAAGAGAGATAATGGGAGAGCACTAAGAACCAAAAAAGAAAAAAAGGGAAGTCGAAAGAGAGAGAGAGATAACAGCGCAAGGGAGAAAGAAAAGAAAAAGAGGGGAGATTTTCTCCAGCGGATCCAATGGTGAGACTTCGTTGGAACGAGCTCGGATTTTAGGGGAGTGTTCGTGGTGTCTACTAGTTCACATTCACTGGTCATTTTGCGGTTTGGAGGTATTTAGAGCCACAAATATGGTTTTCCCCACGTAGAAAGTCTTGTGTGCCATTTATTTTGTGTTGCAGCTATTAGTGTTGTTTTTGCTGTTGTTATTTTTTTGAGTTATAGGTTTACTTCAATTTGCACGGGATTATTTGTTTGTCCCCCAACAAAGATCTCTACCTCAAGTGTGAAATTCAACATTGATATGTTCTCCCTAAACCGAGTACTCAGGCCCAAAGTGCGCACCTCGCCTCTAGCCAAATACCTGGCTAGCCCGAGTCCAACCTGGCTTTGATACTACTGTCAGGAGGGACTCGAGGGAGCTCATGGTGGGGGACAACCACCAATGGCCTAAACTACACCAAATGTAGCAAGTGGGTCCGACGACATATCCTAACCCAAAATCTTAAGGCATTGAGTTCATGAGACCATCAACTTATATTCACTTCACTTAGCTTATTACCAACCAATATGAGACTCATCATACTTGAATAACCCAACAAATATATAGGTGCTCAAAGTAGCAAAAGTATGAATTAAACCTCAAGGAGAAACACCGCAAGTGCTATCTCAGACGAGAATGAGAGACGGGGATATGAATGGGTACAGTGGCTCTAGATTTTAGAAGAGTAACAACTCATGAAAATAATAATTTTCTGATGCCTTCTCTTGATGAGAAGATTAGTATATAATGAAAAAGAGGATAGTCTTATCCATTTTTTCTCGATGCCCACTATGTACGCGTGACTACGTGTCCCACTACGTGCGTATAGTAAATTATGCATGGGTAAAGGATTCTTTATTGGGGGTTACATTTCTCATGTTGTTGGAGAAGAATAACTCTTCCAACAGACACATAATTTAGATGAGTCTCATCATTAAAAAAAACTTAGCACAGAACACAAACTGAGAGTGCTGAGAGTGACATGCGAAGATAATTTTACAATAACATGAGAACTCTTTTTGCCACCTTTGTTATGAGTTTTATATTTTCACTCGAAGAAGCAGTTATATGAGCCCTTCATAGACCTTGGCAGGCCGGCCCAAATACCTTAAATTGCTGCAGAACAAGTATTTTAATTCAATTAGATTTTATGAACAAATTACCCATTAAAACGATTGAAAGGGAACTTACTTTTTCAGTAGTACAATACAAATATTTTTCCCCCACCGAAATAACTTTGTATTGAACTAGCGACTTTCTTTTTAGAGTTTTTTCCTTGGTATATCTCATTTATTTAAGAATCATGACATTATCAATTTATTTAATTTGCACTATTCCTATAGATCCCAAAAAAATAATTTAATTCTATTCGAACTTATTTGACACTTTTTTTTGGATATCTTAATGAATACTTTCCTCCAATGTTATTAAATTCGACTCGGTTATTGACCCGATCGAGGTACTGGGTCACTAGTTCAACTGCATTACCCGGTAAATATATGTAAATCTACAATTTATATTAAAAAAACTATAAATATACTTAAATACTTGTAAAAAAATATACCAATTTCAAATATTTTAATATGAAAATAATAAATTACACATCATTATCCAACAAAAGATCAATCAAACATATAATATTTGTGATACTAGAGTTTCAGGTTCAGTAAACGACATCTCTAACTATAAATTAAATCAAAATTTTCTGCATATTGCATAATAAAGATAATATTAGTGTTGTAGGTATATAATCTATATAAGTTAATAAGCTACAAATCATTCAAATATTTCAAAAGAAAACAAATCATTTGTGTTTGAGAGTAAAAAAAAAAAGACATTAATTTATGAAAATAATTTATTTTTTTATGTTTTTTATAGACCGGGCCGGGTCACCGATTTTTACGAAAACCGGCCGAGTCGCACCGGGTCACACCGGTTCTGTAACATAGCCGGTCCAATATGAAAACCAGACCTGTTACATGATCGGTTCACCAATTTTCGGATCGATCTGGCCGGGTCGGTCCAGTTTTTATAACATTGCTTTTCCCATGATTGATGAATGGGACCATGCAACTTGTATGTGTTGCATCTTGAGACAAGGAATAATTGGAAACATGATGAGGAAACCTCGGACTAGCCACACGCAGAAAACACGGTACCCACGTTGTTTTCTCGGGTAAGAATCAATCAGAAAGTCAATAGGGACAGTGCAAATGCAACATCCATGACTTGCATGCTTGAAATTACATGCATTTCCATAGATGCTTGAAATTAAAATTAAAACTTCACCAAATTATTATCCAACAAAAAAAAAAAACTTCACCAAATTAAAGAGAATGAACCAGCCCACTTTATGCGGTCGCATAGTCTCGCAAATAAATGGGTTGTCGCCTAAATCTTCTTCGGGCCTGATCCGTGGGCTAGACCGATAGACATTGCTTCAATATGGGTCACATATCCCTATTTAAATTATGCTAAAAATGCTTCCACTCATGTCAGTTGTGGTTTAAGTTTGATTTTTGATTTTTTGTCCTTAATATTAGATGATAAATAATTTTCCTTTAAATTTTTATTGACGTTGATAATTTTCTCTTAATTTATATGAAAGCGCATCTCTCTTATTCTAAACTTAATATATATATATATATATATATATATATATATATATATATATATAATGAAATTTGATTTATTCCGGCTTTGTTAGTCTAAACTTGAAACATCTGGAGGTGATAAGAAGCGTACTAGCTTATATTAAGAAGAAGATATATAAGTTTTCAGAAGAGTATATTATTAAAAAAACAAGTGAATTAGATGCAATTACTTCTCGAAATGAATGTAACAAGTTTATAATCCGGTGCAAGGGCAAGGCATAGATGCATTTTGATTTTGCCGCAATAAATATTGTTATGAGTTCTATAATTATGAAATGAATGTTATGCCTTTGATCCGACTAAGGAGATTAATTAGTATATGTGTGTGTATATATATCACTTTCCATTGCAATGTTCCTGAACTAGACATAACAAAGCTTATTTTATATCAAATTTTATAATACTTAATTAGAAAAAGCTAATTTTTTTTTTTAATTAAAGTCACTTTATAAATATCACGAAAGAGAAATTATATCGAGTCAACTTAAAAATCCAAATGCAAATTTTATTCTTTTCCTGTGTACATATCCCCACACCTATTCGTTATATTAAACATTTACTTGATATTTGATAATTGTTTAATATTTTATTTTACTCTCTCTTAAAGCCTGACATGAGTTATTTCTGACATTTTTCTCAAAACTTTAAAATTCAATTCTTCATTTAATGTAATTACTATGATACGTCCTTTTTCCAAATTCAAACATCTTTTTAAATTGTTTTTTTTTTCTCCTTTCAAATTCTGACTGATCATAGAAGAAATATCTTTAAATAAAGAATAAAATATTTCTCCGGTCAATGAACATAAGTTATCTTTGATGAATTCAAAATAATGTCATTTTAGAACGAAAATTAAGATATTTTTGTAATTCTAATATTTTGTAAAATTATATTAATCTTTATCAATATAATTTTTTAATTTTTTAATTCTAAAATGATATCATTTTGAATTCATTAAAAATATTAGAGAAATATTTTTTCCTTGAATAAATAAACAAAAGGCTCTTTCATATTCGAATAAAATTCTGCGAATCAAGGACAGAATTGTGAACACGCACCCACACTTCTACTTTTTTTTTTTTTTGTAAATATTCTACTTTCCATTTTAACCAGAACGACATACACCAAAATGGCTATGATCCTCTGAAACTCAAAATCTGACGCAACTTTTACAAACCGAACGACAACACTGTCAAGCCACGCACACGAAAACGACATGAGAGGTACTCTTATTTTCACTTCCACTTTAACCCCAAAACGACACACCCAAACCAAAAACTGCCATGATCCTCTAGAAGTCATAATCAGAATAATCTTCCCCAGGATAACCAGAATAATCTTCCTCAACCTTCTCAGCCGCACGATCAGCAATCTTGTCCTCTATCATGTCCACACCTTTTCCAAGTGCGAGTGCACCAAGCCCACCCGCTACAGCACCCACAGCCAATCCCATCCCCATCCCACCAAACTTACTCTTCTTCTTCTCCTCCACCGGTGCCTGTGCTGCCACGTTCACCGTCTGCACACCCTGCCCGTACCCATAACTTCCTTGCCCGTACGATGCGGCTGCACCGTACCCACTCGCAGGCGCTGCACCGTACCCAGTGGCAGGCGCTGCACCGTACCCAGTGGCAGGAGCTGCACCGTACCCAGTGGCTGCGGGTGCACCGTATGTAGCGGCTGCAGGTGCACCGTATGCAGCGGCTATGGGTGCACCGTACCCTGTGGTGGGTGGTGCTGCATTGTATGAACTACCACCATACGCTGGCGAAGGTGGTGGAACACAGTAAGCAGGAGCTTCATACGCACTGCGCGCACGATAGCCAGTGTCTTCGATGACGACTTTAACGTCAACCGTGCCTTGTGGTCGACCAGATGGGCGCTTCAGCTTCAATGTACGGCTAGCGCGCTCCCCGATTCCGACGTCGTTTCGGACCTATCATGTAATTACCAAAAAAATAACATTAAAATAAAAGAAAAAATATTTATCCTTTAAATGATGTTATTTTAGTTGAATTAATATTTTTATTTCAAATTTAAATTAAAAAAACACTCAAAATTTTTGCTATGTACTTTTTTCTCTTATTTAAAAGGACATAATTTTATATCTTTTGCAAATACAAATACCAAATCCATAAGTAAATGTGTCTTTATTTACTAAAAAATAACATTAAAAAATAAAAAAATATTTCATATTAGGTTTTAAAAAAAAGGTATTTTAAAAATTTCACTAAAATATTTTATATTTTATATTTTAAATCCTAAAACAATATTATTTTAGTTACAACAAATAATTTTATTTTCATATTTATTGCAGAAAAAAAATGTTAATCCCTTTAAAAATAGGAATTACTATTTATATTGAGATAATTTTATCTACAATAATAAGTGAATTTAATGAAAATAAAAAGTAGAATCCACTCTCACTCGTGTAGGAGATAAAAAAATCTATACAAAAAATAATATTTTTAAGTGTAAAACGTTGTCATATGGTAAAAATTAATGTTGTTTTGGACCTCGATAAGTCGGAGCTGAGCCGAGCCGATGATAAGTGGCTTGCCTTCTGACTCGGAGGAAGCGTGAAACACGTCGACGAAGAGGGTGGAGTCGTCAATGGTCGCCGACGGCGGCAAGGGGATGACGAGTTTCTCGTCCCAGTTGGCTTGGGTGTCGCCCGATTTGTCGACATTGGTGGAGCGTTTTTGGTTCGGGTCTACCCAAACGACGGCGTATGGACTATTGGGACCGTTGCGCCAGTTCACGTTCTTAAGGTTGGTGGCAGAGGAAAGCTTCACTTCAATTTCGTAAGACGCCATTGGAAAACAATGCACGAGAGTGAGAATTGAGAAAAGAAGGAAGCAAGTGATGAAATATGGTGTATAATGTTGGGTTATATAATGAGTTTGTAACAGTTGTTATGAGCTACTGTTCCTTCTTAGAGAAGGAAAATATTTAATGTACGCTATATTTATTATGTTAGTTTTTTATAAACAGAATATATTTTAATCTAAATTTTATATTTTTTAATTAAAAAAGTTAAAAGTAATGTCTAAATATGGAGGTGGAATAAATAGCATATGGTACAGAATTGATGATCTTTGGAAATTGGGATTGACGAGGAGGGTTTTATGGAAAGATTCTATGACTTTTTTTTGACATGGTGACGTGTGAGGTGGCACCAGGAGCAAACCTTTGCTATATTCATTATATCTATACCAAAAAAAAAAAAAATTAGAACTTAGAGAAAAAAAATAAAAAAAAGTAAGGATGTAAATAAAAAAAAATTCTTTATTTGAAAAAAAAGATATATTTCACTTGAATACATCCTTTGCATTGAAGAAAGTTTCCTGGCACCAGCGTGTAATTGTGATAATCTCTTGCGTGAAAATTTGGGGTTCTAATTAAAGACATCGAATGTTAATTTAAGGCAAAAATTGAAAATCTGATCTCGAATAGAAAAACATTAAACGCGTATCTGGGGCTGATTTTTTAATGAGGATAAACATTTAAGAAGAATCTTAGAGACTAAGAAATTTTTTAAAAGTATCTAGTTTGAAGATATTATATATTAAATTTTTTTTTCGATTAAGGATACATTTAAAGATATATGAATAAAAATAAAAGTCGTGTATAATATGTTGTCAGTTGTCAGATTAACTATTAAATAAACAAAGATTTTTTTTGTAAAAAAAAAACTACTTTTCTTGTTTATTATCCGACATAAATAATAAGGTTATTTCAATAAATACAAATTTTGAAAAAAATATATTAAAAATTATCTTTTTATCTCTTCTGGATTAATTGGTGAGTATGACTTAGACATACGTACCCTATGTCCAAATCAATTAAATATGCTATGCTTTCTTAAATAATGTTAATGAAATATTTGTATTAGAAAATTAAGTGCAACATTAATTAGAATATTTGAAATAAGTAAATATTGGCACCAACTACAATCACAATCCATGTTCCATACAGTAATAATATTAAAATATGCCGAATAGGAGGTGTTTGATAGAGAGAAAAAAAATTTACCTGAGAATCACAATTTTTTAGAATATGGTGGGAAAATGAGTTTTTCGAAAATGTTACCAAAAAATTGTTTGGCATGCCAAAATATTCCCAGAATATTGGAATAATTTTCTTGATGTTATGTTTGGTTGTGTTAAATTTTCCCTTGTCATGTGAATCCTAAAATACAACCCCTGGGTGGGTATTCTTGGATGGTCTTTTCAAAAAAAATTAAACACAAAATAAAATTTCAGAAAAATCAGATTCTCAGAAAATTTTTAGAAATCTCGTACCAAACGTGGGTAAATAAAATTACCAACCTCAATTTTCTGGAATACTAAAAAAATTATTCTACCAAACACCCCGTAGAGTAAAGAACAACTCACCTCTCACACGAAGTTATGAAGCAAAGGCTCAAGAGCAAGAGTAAATTTTTTTATATTTTCTCCCAACAAACATCCAGATTCTTTCTCCTTTCTTTAGAGGGCATTTGGTAGGGGAGAAATTTTTTGTTACCAGGGAAATACAATTACTAGGAATATGGTGAGAAAATGAATTGGTAAGAAAGTTAAAAAAAGTTGTTTGATTGACCGAAATATTACCGGAAAAATGGTATTGTTCATAGTGTTTTTGATCCTTTTTCTTCCATTTAACCGATTATCTTCGAATATATAACACCTCACAATTTTAAATTAAGTGTTTAAACTATTAAGTGTGTAATTAAGTGGAGATTCAGTGAAAATCCTAAAGATTAGGCCAAAATACAAAGAAAGGGCAAAACGGTAATTAGCCAACACTCAACCCTAGGAAGATGAAAATTAAGTAGAAGGTCTCAGATGTTGAAAATAACCCTGGAAATGGATTCAGAACGAAAAATTGGGTGGATAGGCAAGTTTCAGAAAAATCAGTGAATAGTATTTTTCGCGAGTAAAAATATCGCGGTACGACTGCACCGTAAAACGTGTCGATTGAGTTTTGAGCTATAGGTTTCCAATATGAGTTATAAATGGTTTATTGAGTTAGGAAATATAATTTTTGATAAAATCTGATGAAAGTAAGTCATTTTGGGGAAGCGTGCCAACGGCGCGCGCAATAGCTTAAAACGGTGTTTTCTCCGAACGAATGGAGGACTCTGAATTCATCTGATCAAGCCTAATTAAAGGGGAATAGTTAATATTAAAAATTAGAGTTTCTAAATAGGCTTTGAATTTATGAACGTTTAGTAGAATCGGAGGAAAATTCAAATGAGTTTGAAATTGCGTGAGGTGACGGTGGGACCCATCCCACTTAAACCACTTAAGCCACATCATCCTAGGACACTATTCATCATCTTATATTCCCTCCTCCTTCATGAAACCCGCAGCCCCCTCCCCCAAAAACCCCCATTTGCATTCAAAATTTCATTTCACCATAACTTGATCATTTCTTAACCAAATCAAGCGATTTTTGTGTTGAAATTTGTTGGAAACAACCTTCCAAACACATTGGTGGTATCCATTAACCTTGAAACTCTCTCTTTGGTGAGATATGGGCCATTTACAGCCACGAAATTTTGGAGAAAAATGATGTTCATGGAGTTGTTTGGAGCTCCAATGGTTTATGATAGCTTGGAGGAGTCTTGTGCCAAGCTTTTGAGTAAGTTTCTTCACCATTTTAACGGTTTAATCCTTGGATTGAATTCATGAACCCTAAGGGGGAATTTGATGATTTGTTTTGTTAGAGAGCTCAATTGAAAAATGTGTATTAGATGATAATATCTTAGAATGATGTGTGAGAGCTAGAAATGCCATGAAAATTATTGATGAAAATTATGAAAATTTAACTTAGAAATTTTGAGGAATGTCATGACTTTGAGTTTTGGAATTTTGTTGGGAATTAATTAATGAGTTGTTGTATGATTATATGATGATATAATGTGGTTGTGTGAGGTGTGGAGTGATTAAAAGTGAATGGAAATCCTAGAATTGCCCTAGGTTACAACTTGGCCTTTAAAGGAAAATTAAGGAATTGATGTTGTTGGAAATTGTTTGAGTGATGAATTATGTGTTAAAAAGGTAATTAGATGAGTTGTGTGGTGATTGGCAAGTGGAAGAATCAATGCAAAAATAATAAGTGGCTTAGTTGGCATAAAGAACCTAGAGTGAAATATTTCGCAAAACGATGCGTAAATATCGTAAAATGGAAAAACGACGATTGAACTATCCTCTAAGAAACCTAAGGAAGCGTAATAAAATGAGAAAGAAAATTTAGAAAAATAAATCCTAAATTAACACTACAAAGGCAGAACCACCAAGGAAGGTGGGGGAGATTTTGCGGTTTTCGCGTTCTGATGTAATTCGACGCGAAAATGGCGAAACGACACTTGAATTGGCCTCTTGACAACCTATTAAGGCGTAATAAAATGAAAAAGAAAATTTAGAAAAATAAAATTGAAAATAAGCCTAGGATGGCCGAACCTACCAAGTGTGGGTGAGGTGATTTTGTGATTTTTGGCGTTTTGACGTTATTTAACGCATACTGATGGTTGTACGTCATTGTATAGGTTGCCGTACGTTGACTTGAATCCCGAAACTTGAATCTGGGAGTTGCCCTTGATCCTGGACCAAGTGGATTGAGGCATTCTGATGTGTACCAAGTTGAGGGATAAGCTGCTGCGGAGCTTGTGAAAACAATATTTAAGGTAACCTCTTGGTACTAGGGCTTGTTCCCCTTTTCTGTTCCACCTTGCCAGTTGATGGCAACGGTAGGAAGTGTGTATGAGTAGTATAGAACACATGAGCATGCATGCATTATTACAATGGGTACTTATGTACCGAGTCTCTGGCCAGTAGACAGTTTTTCTTAGCCTTCGGGCAGTTTCAGACTTCCACTGGATAGGTCTCCGAGAGGGAGTTCCAGTTGACCGTGGGTCATGGTGTGTGATCCGGGTAGGAGAACACTAGGAATGTCTTTGGCGTTTTGGATGGTTGGGGCATCATGGTTGTGGTTTTTTGAACGCACCTTGGATGATACCCATAGGCTTATATATGCCCAGGGCGTACGTGGAATTGGGGTTACCATCCCGTATCGTCGTAGTTTGTATCTCTATATTCCCCATTTCTCTAAAACCCTTGCTATATCCCGTTTTAAAAATTGGTTGTTGTATTCTATTCATATGCATCAAAGTGAACCATTGGGCGGAGTTTTCTCCAGAACCTCTGGGTTACTGAGATATATTCGTATATCTCACCCCGTCTCGGGGCATTTATTTCAGGATGTACCTGTGGCGTTGGAGCAGCGGGCAAGAGGCCTGCAGAGTGATAGAGGAGCATTTTCAGTATTTGACATATGGTTCATGTTGGCATGCCTAAGTCTAGTAGTTTGTATCATTTGAACTTATGTTTGAATTTGTAATTGAAGTTGTTATTGTAAAGGGTAATTTGAAGTTGAAGTTGTAAGTTGTAATATTTAAGTATATGTTGTAAATGTAAAAGAGATGCATGATGTACCAGGATGAAAGGACTTTAGGCCTATGTTAGAGTTATGATTATATGCTTATATTGTGAAATTACATGTAAAGGCGACCTTTGTGATTGAAACAAGCAAGGATTATAATGTGAGTTATATAGTATAAACTGTGTAGTAAATATAAACTGGATTGGGTTGTAAGTGCCCCAAGGCGTTGTTGGTCCTTGTGTGTGCCACCCATTGGATTATTACTGTATTATTGTTGGATTATTAGGTACTTTGAGGCATTAGTGAGCTTGTACAAATTTGGGGATTGTTGGAAAAACAATTGAAACTCTAGCGAATTTTCTGTAGAATT